ATCTGAGAATTCCGTAACTTCAGAATCTGAGAATCTGAGAATTTCGGATCTTCAGAATCTGATAATGCTAAAACTTCAAAATCTCAGAACTTCGGAACTTCAAAACTTCAGGACTTCAGAATCTCAATATTTCAAGAAAGACAATGGAGAACTGTGAAATGATTTTAACAAATTTTACAAACGGATTCCGGCTTTCCCACCTTTTCTTAATTTTCCTCAATTTTCGCGGTAATTAAATTTTTTCTCATTTTTAAATGATTTTCTAGATCATTGATTGAAGGAAACAATCACAATTTAGATATTTCCCACAAAATTCGAAAATCCCAAAAATTGGCCCAAAAAGAGCTATTTTCTTTCGAAAATCGTTCGAACAAGCAATAAAACATTACAAAAACTATAAAATTAATTTTTTTCGATAAATTATCACGAAAATTTAAGCAAAAATGATGAAAAACGAAGGAAAAGGGAGAAAAATGGGAATTGCGAAAAGATCTCAATTTCGCGAAATTTTCCCATGGAAGAGAAAACCCCGCAGCTCGGCCACGGCCATGGACTGATGACGTCATCGCTTGCAAATTTTATTTTTGGGATTTTCTCTGTTTTCCTTCGTTTTTCATTATTTTTGCTGGAATTTTCGTGGTAATTGGTCGAAAAAAATTAATTTTTTCAATTTTTGTAATGTTTTATTGCATGTTCGAACAATTTTTGATAAAAAATAGCTCATTTTGGGCGACTTTTTTGGGATTTTTGAATTTTGTGGGAAATAGCTAAATTGTGATTGTTCCCTTCAATCAATGATATACAAAATTGTTTACGAAGGATAAAAATTTAAATTACCGCGAAAATTGAGGAAAATTGAAAAAAATTGAGGAAAATTGTGAAAAATTGGGAAAAAGACGAAGGAATATTGAGAAACAAAGGGAAATGAAATAGAATTGAAAAAACAAGGAATTGAGAAAATTTGGCATTGAGGAGGAAAGTATCGGCTGGGTTTTGAACTTAAATTAAGGTTTAAAAAACTGAGTTTGTAAAATTTGTCAAGTTTAGCTTATTGTCAAAAAGAACAATGTGACAATGAGAAGTGAAAAATTTCTGTCGTTCGAAATTCTCAGATACCGAAATACTGAAGTTCCAAAGTTCTGAAATTCTGAGATTCTTAAATTTGGAAATTCTCAGATTTTGAAGTTCCGAAATTCTCAGATTCCGAATTCTGGAATTCTAAGAATTCTGAAGACAATGAAGGAAATTTCTGCCGTAATTATTGAAAATTCAGAAATATTGAGATTCTGAAGTTCTGAGATTTTGAGTTCTGAAATTCTGAGATTCTCAGGTTCTCAGATTCTGAAGTTCCGAAATTTTCAGATTCCTAAATACTGAAATTCCAAAGTTCTGAAATTCTAAAAATTCTGAGATTTTCAAGCTCTGAAATTCAGGAATTCAGAAACTTCGTCAAAAAAAAATTGTACCCCCGAATCACAAACGTTGTACCCCTAAATGAAATAAGTTGTACCACAGAATCATTGGTAGATTGTACCCCCGAATCGTTGTACCCCTGAATTTTTGTACCCACGAATTTTGTACCCCCGAATCACCAATTTTGCACCCCTAAATCAGTTGTGCCCCTTGTACCCCCGAATCATTGTACCCCCCGAATTTTTAACCGATCTTTTTAAATCCTAGGCAAGATATAAAACATGTGTTAACTAATAGCATTTTGCGCTTTCATGATAAATTATTTATCAGTCGACAACTTTTTGATATCTTGTACAATAACAAAGAAATATTGACTCGTAGTTAGATGTTAGGAGGCTCCTCTTTTACAGGTTTTACGGTATTTTAAAATCATGTTTTGCAGGTCCGATCGCCGACCCCTTTGAGATGGAACGTTACCATGCCGGACTGTTTGGATGTCACCACTACACTATTAGTGTCGCCGCAGATGTTCTCTAAATCTCGATTCATCTCAGTCCTGATTGTATTGATTATAATATTTGTTTTCCGGGGAGCGTTCTCTTTTATATGTACTGCATTATTCGTACCGCATCTTGATATAAGCTAACATTATACGTGCACTTTAAGTTTAATTATCTCACTTTCTATGAAAGATATCAACTAACTGTCAACTGATAAAATGTTTTTCGTAATATCATAAACATTTTATTAGTTGACACATTTTGGATAACTCTCATAAAAACTGAGATAATTTAATTCGAAGTGCTCATGTAGTAGCTTTTCCCTCTTTCCTTTTTTGCAGACTCCGGAACTAAGATATTCAAACTCTCCCATTTCTATTTTATCATTCGACTATCTCCTTCTCTCTTTCCTATACATTTTTTTCTCCTAACTTCGTCAAGTTTTCCTGCCCAATCAATCGATTCCTCCATCTCCCATCTTTCATGACGTCATTGACTACAGTATTTTAGAAATAACATTTTTTAAAATAATAAATTTCAAAAAGGTAGTTTTAAAAAAGGGATTATGAATGTTTCAATAAAAAAGAAAAGGGATATAAACAAAGAAAAGTGACATACAGTACCATGTTAAGAGGGCGTCAAACTATCGAGAGAGCAAGTTTTCAATGTCAAAAGACTTCGGCTCAGAGTTAGACTGTAGTGCAGCTGAGGTCCCAACCGATGATGCTGATGCTTGGAGAAGCTGAACAACTGGAGATGGATCTGGAATAGGCGGGGACCGAGCAAGTGATTCGATGAGTTCGTCGATAGTGGTTGTCTGCATGACGTTGGAGTATGTAGTCAAGAGCGATAACCATTGCGGGTGAAAGAATGGAAGATTTCCGAAAAGGTGAGGAACCAACATCTGAAATGTGCGAAAATTAAAAAAAAAACACTAGTCTGAATAAAACATTTTTGAACTCAATGTGCGAAAATGGGGTTTTCGGAAAATATTTATTTCGAAATATTGTATGTTCTCTAAAAGAATTTCACCCTAACCTTCAACTTTGAACTCAATTATCTCGATTTCTGCGAACGATAAAGGAATTTTGCCAACTGATAAAACTTTGGTTGTATCATTAACAATAGTTTATCAGTTGACAATTGTCTGATAACACCCATAGGAATCGAGTTGATTGAGCTCAAAGTTTTCGGTCCCTACGAATTTTTGATTTCCTAGAGTGGATTTTATTCAGATCCCATTTTTGTATTTTTTTTCCTTTACTTGAGATTTAAATTTCCGAATTCTTCTACAGCCAGAAGTGGAAGAAAAAACATTTTTGTTTATGTCTGGAGTATTGTCAAAATAAAAAAAGTGACACTTGGTGCTTGCGTCCCCGACGCTCCGCCTACGATTTCGCAGACTGCGGCGTGAGGTTTTGCAACTGTGCGGCGCCACTTCGGGATTATTGCAATTAATGAGATTTTCATCGGAAAATTGCAATTTAGCTCACAATTTTAAGAAAAATTTTTTTTTTATTTCTTGTTGTCGATTGTAGCTCATTGTCACCTTTTTCAATGTTTTTTCTTGAAATCGTAATCTAAATTGCAATTTTTCGATGAAAATCTCATTAATTGCAATAATCCCGAAGTGGCGCCGCACACTTGCAAAACCTCACGCCGCAGTTTGCGAAAGTGTGGGCGGAGCGTCGGCGGCGCAAGCACCAGGTGTCATTTTTTTTTATTCCGACAATATCTTTTTTCTTTTTTTTTGTTATTGCAAAATCGAGGGAGATTCGGCTATTGCGAAATTGCTTTTCTACCGTCTACCACCCTCCCCGTTTTTTGGGCAACGGAAAATGAGAAATTATTTTGTTCAATGGGTAGAATGGATGAGTGTCAATCTGGCAACCCGAGTTCGACTCCGATGGCCGACTTTATTCCTTTTTAATTTTTTTTCGAATACGAAAAATCTGCTAAATGAGCTCAAAGAAAAAAAAAGACAAAAAAAATAGGGGAATATGTTTTTGGGGACACCAAAGTACTAAAAATGGTCTGTAGAACGCCACAGTATACTTTTTCTTGATGCTCAATTATCTCGATTTCTGAAAAAGCTATCAAAAATTTGTAGCTTATATAAATGTTGACGATATCATCAGTAACATTTTATCAGTTGACAGATTTTTTTAATCTATCACCAAAATCGAGATAAATGAGCTCAAAGTGCGAGTAAAAATTATATTATAAAGTTTATCACGGTCTCATTTTTGGGAAGGTTATCTTGATTCCCATAAAACATAGCGTAATTTTGTCTACTGATCGATTGTTTATCATAATATTGCAAGTGTATTATCATTAGACAGAAGTTTGATATCATTTAAAGGAATCGAGAGAATTGGGCTCAAATCGACCCTTTGGGTCGGCTTCTACCAGGGAAAAGAGGGTGATCTTGTTTCCAGAATACCGTGCAACATGTATTAAAAGGCCCCCTTTCATAGAATGGTCCCTCTAATAGAAGGGAGAAGGGACTTCACGATTCAATAGAAAGTTGTTGAAACACTATTTTCCGATGAAAATCTTGCTAAATTTTTATGAAATTGGCAGATATTCATGAACTTTGAACAAAAGCCTGCCCTTCTAATACAGGTTTTACGGTATATTACATATGACTTGCCTCGGCAGTGATCTGATATTTCGGGAAAATCGACGATGGTGAAGCAATTCCAGGAGATCGAACTGGGCTGCCTGGGGTGATCATTTTCCAAACTTTCGCTTTCTGAAAAAATGTTTTTGGATGAAGTGTGGTTGCTGAAAAATCGCTTACCTCTTTCTCTTCCCTCATTTGCTGAACTCTCATGCTCCTTCTCTTATTCGAAAACCATGCTTTGACCTGCTTGTTGTTCAGACCTGTAACCTCCGCAAGTTGCGCCATTTGCAAACCACTGGGATGATGAGAAGTTTCGAAATAAGCTTGAAGGATTTGTGTTGTCTCTTTGCAGTGTGATCTACGCGTGCGTTTTGTTTTCGGTGGTTTTTTGAAGTTGTTCGTGAATCCTATTGGAGAGATTCCGATCTGAAATTAGGATTTTTTTCAAAATTGAAGCATTTCATGGGCGTACGTCTTCCGGAGCTTGGATGTTTTCTGGGATCTCTATTTTTCTTTCCATAGCCAGAAAACTGAGTGACAATAATGGATCAGGAGTTGTCAGAATTTCCATTGGCAAGATTCCAGTCTTAATATCACGATATTTCTAAAAATTGAGTATCGCATGAGCTCACGTTTTCCAAAACTTGGAGGTTTTCTGGAATCTCCATTTTTATTCCCACAGTCGAAAAACTAAATGACGATCCTGCATCTGGAGTCTTCATAAGTTGGATCGGCAACATTCCAATCTGAAATTGGGATTTTTCATAAATCGAAGATTTCTCGTTGGCTTACGTCTTCCGGAACTTGATGGTTCTCTGGAACCTCCATTTTTACGAGTTGTTGAGAAACCAAGTGAAGATGTTGCATTTTTCTGGAAAAGTCTTTAAAGTTAAAAATAAAATTAGTGAAAAAGAAGGATCAAGAAACGCCACAAAATCCAAGATTTAATACCTGAAATTCCAGAAAACTACGAAATGAACAAATAAAAAGTTTCTGATGATACATATTTGAAAAAGTTGAATATTTTTGGATGGAAAATGCAGTAGCTTATATTGTTTCTATCTGAACAAATGTAAACTACTTTTTCGAGAAGAAAAATCTTCAACATAAAAAAATGAATACTGATTAAAACGTGGGAACCAATGACACTGAAACAACTGAATCTATAATACGTATCAGAAAACATAAAAGCAAACATCAATAGGGTGGAAATTTCATTTTTTGAGGTTCAGAAGAATCAAACTAAATTCTAATGAAGGTGAATCTTTTTTATAAACATTTGAACTAGTTATAAACAAAAGGTGTAAAAATCGGAGGATGGTAATTCGATACTTCTTTTTGTATTCTTGCTGAAACAATTTAAATCGTATTTGAGAACATGGATGTCACATAGAAAGAAAATTGAACGACATTTTTGTATGCGATGTGTTTATTCTGAAAAATAGAAATAACAATTTGATTTAAACCATGAAAACAATTGCTCATCCCCGATGAGTCATGATACCACTATTAGTAGACGATTGAAAGGGTGGTTCCGTTTTTTTTGTGGATTTTGAGAGGAATAAGTGATATAAAAAAGAATGTCATGTGGAAATTTAGCATAGTTGCAACGGGCCGGGCCGAAAGATGAATTTTGTCAACCCGGCCCTTCCCGGCCCGTGACCCGGCCCGGCCCAACCCCGGGCCGGCCCGCCTCCCACAGTTGAAAAATTTCCAATAAAAAATTTGGTAATTTTTTGAATTAAAAAAGAAAACAGTTTACATTATTTAACAAACTCAACAAAGTAAAAAGTAGTCAAGAAATAGTTAGTTCTTGTTTGAATTTTTGGAAAAAATTTCATAACTTTCGAAAAAAAAAATCACCCTTTGTAGAAATCCCGGCCCGCCAAAATTCTCAACGGGCCGACCTGCGGGCCGGCCCGAGATTTTGCAACTATGAAATTTAGGAACTACAGTACCTCAGAAATTTGTTCTCATCAAGCAGAAAGCAGTATTGTGATAACGTTTTCGATAAATGGGGACCGATAACATTTAACCTATTACATTCGAATTATTCAATATACCGTATTTCTTTAGAGGAAATACGGGAAGCCAGACAAATTGACATTTTTTGCCACATAGAATTGAAGCAACAGGTGGTCAAAATGCAAGTGTCTCTTTTTTGGGAGAGAAATAGTCCGGAGGAAAAAATTGGAAGAATAATGACAGATGTTCAGAACATGAGTTCAACAGAAACTTGAAATGAGAAAGAGAGTAACAAGGGATCTGATTGAATAATCAAAACTACGGTTGATACAGGTCACCGGAAGTCATAGATTACTGATTTAGAACCTCGCGAATTCCACTATTGCAGAATACTATATACGGTTTGCAGGACGAAAAGTATTGGGATTAGAATATCAAGCCAAAGAGAAGCCGTGAATGTAACAGGGAACATAACGTATTTCCTCTAGTTCAACCACATTCAACCCGCCAACTTCTTTCAGCGCAATAATCTCAATTCCTGTGAAAGATATCAATAGTTTGTCAACTGATAATCGGTGCTTCTACATATTAGAGTAAATACCGTATTCTATTATTCAGCTAGGCCTATTCGGTGCCAGTGTTTTTCCTATTTCCAAGTCCAGATGCTCTACCAGCTTGTGGAAAACTATTCTAGTAAATAAGTTTCTTCCAAACAAAAAAAAGAATCTGGCAACAAATTCGATCGCCTGGCACGGATGACCACAGCTGTGTGAAGTTTTCATGTTTGATGCAGCACTGTTCGAAATTCGAACGTAAAAAGTATAGCTACAGATGTTGTGTGTTCGAAAGAGGAAGAAAGAAATGAGAAAATCGAAAGGGATCTTAGTGAATAATGTTAAGAAATTGAAACTACCGTTGGTCTGAGGATTCGATGGTCTTTGGAGTCCACGGATTCTTTTTGGAGTTTCAATTTTTGGCGAATTGTTTCAATTTTACCCAAAATGGTCAGAAATTATTTTAGTACCCGCGAAATCAGGGGCATTCAAATTTTTTGAATGTAAGCTAGACAAAGTGGATTTTATGTTTATTATAAAAATTGAAAAAAAACAGAGAAAAAAAATGAAAGGGGAGGAGACAACAAAACGCCGGAGAGTCTGACAGTGTCCCAATGACTCAGCAGACAGAACATGAACAATTTGGAGGAAATGAGAAACTACAGTATCCGCGAAAATGAGTCATCTTTTACTAGAGGGCATCTCTTTTGCAGCTTTTTTTGATAAATGAAATCCGGAATACATAGAATATGTTTTGCTACAAGAAATATTGAGTTTTCAAGTAAATTTATACTTAAATAATTGCTTGAGGTTATTATTTAAGTATGAGATTTTCAAAAAATTAGGACTAGCATAGAAAATAGGATTTTTTCTTTTTCTTAAATTGGTATCGAGAGGAATTAAATTTTTAGAATAAATTCTACATCAAAAATGAGCTTGCATAAATTTGCAGGCAAGGCAAGAATAAATAAACGATAAGGGACTTTTTAAACTATTTCTTTGAGAGAAGTGAATCAATATCAAATGTTTTGATGAGGCGAGCTGATGGTTGAATGGTTATCACATTGTTTGAATTGATCATCGGCTGCTGAGTTTGTTGGAAAGCATAAGAATTAGCCAGTTGGGCAGCATGTGAATTTGCTAATGGATGATAGTAACCAGGTATAATCTAAAAATCCGAATTTTATCCGTTCTGACTACCTTTACTTCGAATCAACCATACCTGTGGAACAGCTTGTATGTTTGAAGATCTGAACAATTCTCCAACAATAGCTAGTAAAACTTTCACCAACAAGATATTTGCCGAATAAGCTTCAGTTTGTACTGGTAATCCAGCCTGTTGCGGTGCTCTCTGAAAAGCAAAGTTTTGAACGATGTCTATCAGGTGAATAACACTCACCTGCTTTCTTTTACCCATCTCGTATTCCTTCTGTCGTCGTCTCCGGTTAGCATACCAACTTCTGATTTTGTGCTCTGGCAAACTTGTCTGTAGAGCCAGTTTCCAAATCTCGAATTTACTTGGTCTTGGCTGCTTGGCAAAATGTGACTCCAGAAACGGCGTGTTCTGTGTCACCAATGATTTTGAATTCATTTTTGGATTGTTTTTGACCGAGTAGAGAAAGTTAACGGCATATATATACCTGCAAACTATTCATTAAAAAATGAGCTATTAAAATATAAACAATTGAATTGAAGACACGGGAGAGGATGACAAAAAAGCAGAATCGATGGCACATATTTCGGAGGGTACAACGATTCGGGGCACAAATGGAGGCCTTTTCTCATAAAGTATAAAACAACAAAAATGGAAGACGTGTGAAATAAAACAAGGCAGACAACCCACTTCTCGGGTCATCAATTTCAGTGGGTGGAAGTCAAAATTGAAACACGGAAGATAATTGTCAAGATTTTTACGTTTCTGCTCATGTTGGTACGAATATGCATCCATCATGCTTGAGAAAGGAAAGGTTTCTGCATTGAAAAAATGAGAAAACCAAAAATGAAACCTGAAATGAAACATTATCCGTTCTCGGGACCAAAAGAATTCCGTATTTCTGAAATTCTGAAATTCTGCAATTTTGAAATTCTGAAATTCTGAAATTCTGCAATTCTGCAATTCTGAAATTCTGAAATTCTGAAATTCTGAAATTCTGAAAAACCGCCGTTTCTCCTCCACAGCTCCGATTTTTGGTATCAGAACAATAACGTTCCGGAACTTTCATTTTCATTCCTTTTTCCGTCTTCCTCTTCTTCCGAATTTTGGTTTCTCATTTTTATTTTATAGAACTCTGCATCTCGACTCTCAACCCGTCGTCTGATTTATTGGTAAAAAAGAGACGCAGAGAGTATTATAAAATGTTCATCGGGAACTTTTTATTTCCGATACTGTCGGACAGTTCTCGTTTTTTCTTCCGCTTTTTGATATGCGAAAATTGTCCTAGGACAACTGTTTCATTCGATTTTCTCAAAAAAATTTATTCCATCGCTCTTCCCCCACACACAACCACTCACAAAAGCCAACGCACTGTTTTTTTTTCTCTCCCTCCTCTCACCAGAACTCTTCAGTCAATATGCGAACCGGCGTAAAATGTGAGACAGTTTTGGAATATTGTGTCTGTCCACTCTTTCTTTTTTTTCATACTTGTAACGGGCCGGGCCGGGCCGGGCTTTTTTTTCGAATTTCGGAGGCCCGGCCAGGCGGGCCTGCCATTCCACAAGTTTTGAAAATTTCAAAAAACACATAAGGTGGACCCTTATGTGATTTTTTTCGAGTTTTTAAAAATATTTTTTGATCAAACAGAATTAATCCAAAAAGCACGAAAAAAATATAGAAAATTGTATTGAGAGCTTAAAATTCGTTTTAAAATGACAAAATTTTTGCTACCGAGCCTTCCGGGCCGGGCCCGGGCCTTGAAGTTTTCCTCAGGCCCGCCCGGAATTTTACAAGTATGCTTTTTTCTCTTTTTCGCTTTATTTTTGTATTAACAACATTGAAATCTTACAGATTTCTTGGTTTAACAACAATCGGAAGTCCACCAAAATGAATTTCAATAGAATGGTTGGCCAGAAATGGTTCCCGCATTGCGAAGAGAAGTTGAGGCAAGAAAAGAAGCGATGGCGCAGATGGAGCAAGAGATACAAAAATTACAGGCTCGTGGTAAGGTTTTTATATCTAGAAAAAATTTTTTTCTCGATAGTTTTCACAAAAAACGTTAAGAACACCTCGGGAAGAAAATTTTTTCTCAAAGTTTCTTTTACAAAATTCATTATGTTTTGACATTGAATTTTTCGAATATTAAAAAAAATTCAGAATTTTTTTCAAAAAGTTCGAATTTCTGACGATTTTTAAGCTTTGGAAACTAGTTTTTGAAAATCCACACAAAAAAAACATTTCTTAAAAATCGAACTTTTGACCTTAAGGACGATGAATTTCCGTGTCATAACCCACTGAAAACTCAAAAAAAATGTTGAAAAAAAACTATAAAATTATATTTCTTCAAAAATTTGAAGCAATATTTTCACACCTCAAATACCGCATTTTCGCTGATAGAAGCCTACCTCTATTTGAAGCCCACCTCTAAAAGAAGACCACCCCACGAGGTGCTTTGAAAAATAGAAGCCCACCCTCTAATAGAAGTCCATGGGCTTCTATTAAAGAACATACGGTAATTCGAAATTCCAAAACGTTTCGAACTATGATTTTATAACTTGACAATTTCTCAATTATTTTATTTTCTAATTTCTGAATTTCAGAATTTCAGAATTTTAGAATTTCAGAATTTTTTCCTGAATTTCAGAATTCTTGAATTTTGAATTTTGAAATACTGGAATCTCAGAATTTTATAATTTTGGAATTTTGGAATCTAGAATTGCAGAATGAAAATTTCGATTTCTCCAAAACACTGAATTTCAGAAGTCTTATCTTACGAATTGTCAAGTTTCTGTTACGAACGAATTGTCAAGTTTTTTGGATAAAGTTTTTTTTTGAAAATAAATCATTGAAAAAAAGAAGCCCACCCTCTAATAGAAGTCCACTCTGAGAAAGAAGTGAAAAATAGAAGCCACTGGCTTCTATAAGAGGAATTACGATGTTGCTGTGAAACTCACCAGAGAGGTTATTTTTCGAAGAAAAAAACTAGTGAAACTAGAAGAAAAATGGTTAAAAAATCTGTCTGGCATTCTTGGCTGTTTTTGAATCGGCCATGAGCTGCTGGGACATAGATTGGTATCAGATGAAAAATGATTCTATGAGTTGAGATCGCTGTTCTAGAAGTTGTGATGCTTTGACCACGTTTTTCATCTAACACCGTATTTGCTCACTTCTAGGTTCACTTCGAGTTCAATTTTCTCGGTTCCTATGAGGTATCAAAAATGTGTCAACTATTAAAATGCTGGTGATACTATAAAAATCATTTTATCAGTTGACTACTTTTTGATATTTCTCATAGAAGCCGAGATAATTGGGCTAAAAAGTTCACATTAAAACAAGACAAATTACGGCGTTCAATCACTTTCACCTTCATGTCAGAAGACACACTGTAATTCCAAAAAAAGCTCCAAAGAATCGCTAACTTTTCAACTCCTTCTGTGTTTTTAGAACAACATCTCATGGCCACCAATGAATCTCGCATGACTCAAATCACCGATCTCACCGCCGAGTTGCGCGAAAAGAGTAGGGTTGCAGAGAATATCTCACTAGCTCCAAATATTTTTGTTTCAGATAAGTCTGCTGCAGTAAACGAAAAAGACCGTAACCGTCTCATCAGTCAACTGGATGCGTCGAAGAGAGAAACTGCTGAATTCAGGGCCATGATCAGAAAGAAAGGTAAATGTTGAAAATTGAAAAAAACTAAATTGAAGATTCGCGAAAGAATTGGGAACAAATAAAATCATATCTTTCAAAAACGCTAGGTTCAAAGTTGATTTTCAAAAAGTTGGATTCCTAAACTATATTGCATTTTTCAGACAGTGAAATCTCTCTGCTCCAGGGTACTAGAGAGATCCTGCAGAAGAAACAAACATCAATTGGCAGATATTACGTTGCCAAAAGTAAGCACCGTTTATTTTGAAACCGATGTTCCACTAAGAAATTTGATTATTTACAGTAAATGCCAAGGATAACAAAATCCACCTCGCCAGAAAAGCGAATGATATGTATTGTGAGAATTTCAAATACCACCCCAGTCAGTATAATTCTTTTCAATTTTCAGCGGCGCTCATCAACCAGACAAAACAAGACCAGACCAACTTCTTCAAGAAATTGAAAGACTTCCTCGAAGTTGGACTACTTGCTGTTGTAAACTCGAGAGGTATTGTATTGCTGACACAATATTCATATTATTTTTCTAATTTCAGTGAACGAGTTACATCTAAAGACCGCCCAGCTTCTTGATACCGAAGAAAGAATCAAGAAAATAAACAGAGCTGTTGTTGCACTTCGAAACCATATGCAAACAAAAAAGGCGTTAACGGCTGTCACAACCCCAGTTACAGGTATTTTCTATGAGTTTTCATTTTGCTCTAGACCTTGAACAAATCTCATGTTTTTCTGTCTTTCAGCGAACATCAATGCAAACGACGAAGCTATGGATTTCGAAAGCGGAACGGCTTGAAAGTCCGACAGTCAAAGTATCAATCTTTAAAATGTTATTATCTAAATTTTGTAATATTTATGATATCTTTTTTTCATTTTAAATACTTTCTGGATTCGGCCGGTCCCCATAAAATGTTCCATTTTTTATTTATTTTTTGCCTCCTAGCAATCCGGATCCTATGAAAAGAAAACATTGTTATAAATTTAAGTGGATGTCGACGAATTGAGAGTCGGACGTTAATTGGCAAGATTTTTACGTTTTCTGATCACGTTGGTGTAGTTCTGCAATTCTGAAAATTCAGAAATTCAGAAATTCGGAAATTCATATATTCATAAATTCAAAAAAATGGAAACGCTACCGTAACTTTTCAAATCAATTTTGAGAGAAATCAAACAAATTTAGGGCCTAAAAGCTCACTGATTCCTCTAGTGAATCTTCATTTTGATCTTCCCCGTTCACGCACTGCTACTGCAATTTGTGAGACTAATTTTGATGTAAATTGAACAATTTCCAGGCTTAAAATCTCACTGATTCCTCCAGCAAATCTTCTTGAAAGCGGAAGCGGAAACGGAAAAAATCTCTAAAAGCCTGGCAAAAAACGGAAAACGAAAATGGAAACGGATTCCTCACATCTCTGCTTGTTCTTCCGTGTTAAAGCCGGAAAAATTGTCTTGTCATTCTGGAGAAGTTGACCAGAATTCGAACGAAGAAACTGATCTGCTTGCTGGATTCCAGTTCAATGGACCGATTGTCAAGAACAAGAAGTTGAAGCTGTCCAAGTCGAGAAGCAACATCGCCAAAAAATGCGATTTGGGCAAATCTTTTACATGGTTAATAAAAATATGACTAGAAGCTAGAGAATGTGTTTTAAACTGCTATTACTGTCTTTGTTTTTTGCTTCTTTTTTCGTTATTTTCACAATTTAAGACAAACTTTAGCCTCAGAATCAATACTAAAAAAAATATATAATTACTTGAAAACTCGTATTTTTGTATCAAAAAATGTCCCCCTGTATTCCAGTTTGCATTCATCGATGAAGATACTAGAGAACTGCCCTCTATTGACAGATGACTAATATTCATGAGGTACTGTAGTTTCTCATTTTCTCCAATTATTTGATGATCTGTTTGCTGAGTCATTATGATACTGTCACTCTCTTTTTTTGCAACGTTTTGCAATCTCCTCCCCTTCTGTTGCTTCTCTTCTGATTTTTGCAAAAAAAAAAGATTTTCCAAAATTTATTTTCTTTTTTTATTTTTTAATTAAAAACTGCCGAAATTTTCCAAAATGGGCGGAATGATAGTTTCTGATTGTCCATGCTGTTTCGAATTTCCAAGAATAAATATTTCCGGGAACATTAAGCTCGTTTAAGTTGGAATTCTGCTTCGAACTCTTCCTCGGAGAGTTTTCGTCAAAATTGTCAAAGTTCCAAAAGTGCTCAAAAATTCTGAATTTTGGCGAGTCCGAGTTTCGTTCCACTACTCTCTGAAATTTTTAGTTCCGGCTATTAATCAAGTCCGGAAACTCAGAATTTTAGACCTCTACTCATCCTTGCTTACTGTAGTCTCTACTTCCATTATACTCTGTCAGATTCTCCGCCTCTTTTTCTTTCTTTCACTTTTTTCGCTTATTTTTCGACAGGTAGAAGAGGTATTGTTGTGAATTTTCTTCGAAAAAAATTGATTTTACTGTAGATTCGCTCTAAAGAAGCTCATTCAATACGTGAACTTTGAGCTAAATCATCTCGATTCCTCTAAGAGATATGAATAATTTGTCAACTGATGAAATGTTTGTCGTCATGCCAATTATACATTATCAGTTCAAATATTTTTCATAACTCTCGTAGAAAATAAGATGATTGAGCTCAAGGAAAGACTTTCGGAACAAACGACCGCAGTCAGGGCGAGTGCAACTTTGAGCTGAATTATCTCGGTCCTTTCAAAAGATTTCTGAAACGTGTCCACTGATGAAATATTGGTCACAATCTCACTAACATTTTATCAGTTGACAGATTTTTGATACTTCTCACAGCAATTGAAATAGTTTAACTCAAAGTGCACCCATTTCATTTGTGCAAGTACGGGGTGTTGCTTTTGTAACCCTACGAGTAATTGATATTATCTTCTGGTGATGGTACCTTCCCGTTTATATGAGATCTGAAACAAAAATTTGGTTTTCAATAGAAAAGCGAGCATTGAGTTTTCCCTACATTATTTTATTACTTCTTTTCGTGGTTTCTCAATGGTTACAACTTACCGTAATACAGGTCCACTTAAACCGGTTACTTTTGAGCTCAATTATCCTGGTTCCTGTAAAAGATATCAAAATTTTGTTAACAGGTGAAATATTGGTGGTATTATGATGAACATTTTATCAGTTTTTAGATTTTTGATATCTTTCACGGGGATGGAGATAACTGAGCTCAATTTGAGCTCAAGAAGATTTATGTGGGCTTCTACTCGAGTAGACACTGTAGCTTCGTGATATTCAGATGACTTCACAATCATCATTCCCATCCCCAAGTGACGTCCAACGTCGTTGTGATCCCCGCAGGGCGACTCTCGGTTTCATCCAAGTCGCCACCATCCGATTGGATGCGTTCCACCACGTGGCGGATCACGATTTCACCACCATTATCTTCACTCATGTAAGTCTAAATTAATGACGAAAAGACTGTATGTTTTTTCTTAGCGCTGCACCATGTCCACGATTGGACGCTTTCTTGGCGGCGCACGACACCTCCACTTCTTGTGTGGCTACCCGGAGGCTTTGTTCATCTCCTCCGAGGGACAACGCTATTTTCATATCAAGATAGGGACCACTTATTACCTGATGAAAGTGGCTTCGGTAAGTTATTGGTATTTTTTAAAAGAAATTTTCGAGAGAAATACCATTTTGAAGTGAACAGATTTAGAAATGTTGGAAACATTTAACAACATTTCGATTCCCTATCTGGATATATTGTTCTGAAACGACATTGCTTTAAAATTTGTAATACAAGCCATCTCAGACCACTATTTAAAGCTCAACTATCATAGGTTCTCTGAGAGTTGTCAAAAATCTGCAAATTACAAAAATGTTGGTGAAATCAATTGTGAAAAACTTATCTGTTGACGAAAATTGGATACCTTTTATAGCAATAGAGATAATTGAGCTCAAAGAGCGAATAACAGTTTTTAAGTTAGTCTCCTTCCGATTCAGCGGGGCATTCAACAATGAAGTTTAAGAGTTTAAGAAAAAATCAAATTTACGTATTTTTTGATTGAAAAACCTGGAAAAACTTGATAAAGGTTTTGCTAAACATATCTTAAACACCAATGCCTTTAACACTTCATCAAAGTAATCGAATTTCGTTTAAAGGAGGAGAGCGGCGGACAGCTGAAGACGTTCACGGAGATGAGAATGAAGATCGAAGAGCTACAGTAAATTGAGGAGCCGAACAGCACAGGAGCAAATATTATTTTATGTTAACGTTCCTTTCTAATTTATCTCTCATCACCCCTTTTTCTAACTTTTATCTGTTTTTTTCTTCATTTTTCTTACACAATTATCGCTATTCTGAAACTTTGAAACACTTAAATGAGTTTCTGAAATTCTGGTTCTGATGCTTTGAGATTCTGATTCGCTGTGTCAAAAAAGTCCCCGTATTTCTTACTAAAGAACTACCCTCTACTAACAGATGACTAATTTTTGTGAGATACTGTAGTTGCTCATTTTCTCCTTATTTATGATGATTTGTTTGCTGAGTCATTATGATACTTTCCCTCTCATTTTTTTGCTGTGTTGTGTGTTGGCTCCTCCCCCCTCCCCGTCCCTCCATTCTCTCATTATTTTTGCAAAAAAGTTGATTTTCTTATTGTATTTCAAATGAGTCCAAATTTTATATGAAATACTTCCGTCATATTCTCTGACATTCCCAGCCTGATTGCGTAACTCTTTTTTAATTTGTTCTCATTTTTCATCTCCTTTCTTTTGTTTCATGGATACCCATCGTGAGTTGCGTAACATTTTTGGGACCACACCTGCTTTTGGAGACTACCGTCATTCTACTCCTTTCTCCTATTTTCTTTTTTTACTTTTTAACGGGTGGCAGAAGAAAGGTGTTTCTTGCGTTGTTTTAAAGAGGAAAAAAGCATTTTTACTGTAGATCTGCTCTAATAGGAGCTCATCTATATGTGCCCTTTAAGCTTGATTATCTCGGTTCCTCTGAGAGATATCGAAAATCTGTTAACTCTTGAAATTTTGATGATTTCGTGATAAACAATTTATAGGTTGAAAATATTTCAATTTCTCTTCAAGGGACCGAAATAATTGAGCTCACAGTGCACCTAGTTTCGTTTCAAGCAAATACGCTTTTGCTTTAATATTATCTTCTAACAAGGAAGTACCCGAAGTGTCCCCTCGCTTTTTCTTAGATATTGGTGGCAAAAAATGTCCCGTCTCTGGATTAGCACAAAACAAATAATATAAGGTGCCCATAGGCAGGTTGAGCAGAATGGCTAAACTTTTTGCGATTTTTCAGAAAAAGTGGATCCAGTCCATTCAAAAAATCATAACTTTGTACAGAGCGAAGGTAAAGTTATGAACTAACCTGTACCTTGTAGAGCAGATTATAGGCTACTAAAAATTTAATTGCGTCTTGCTTCTATCTTTGCGAAGAAATTTACTAGGATGGGAAATGTCCGAATGGTCCGATCGTATGAAATCAAAAAATGTCGATTTTCGAAAAAACACCTTTGAGAGACTATGTCTATCCAATTGCTTTTATGTCATAATGCGCAAGTATGGTCTCAAATATATAGCTCACCGTTCATTTAAAAGGGATTTTTGAGAAAGTAAACTTTCAAAACTCAATTCCATGTTCCCCTATACATGGTATTTTTTAAACTCATTTTTCCATATATATCACAAACGCGCTGAGAACAAACGATTCAGTTGATTTAGTTGTATTTTGACAGAAAATCATCGAATCGTTATCAAGCAGTCAAAATTTTCGAAAAAAAATTTCACATGATAAA